TTAAAAAAAATTTAACAATTATACAAACACTTTTTATATTTTCTTCCATATTTCCTAAATTTGTTAATTCAACATGTTCGTACTCTTCGACATCATCACCGCTCTTGTCAGAATAATAATTTTCATCTTAATTATCATCAATACCATCTTGACCATTGTCATCACCATCACCATCAATTCCATCTTCATTTTGCAAAACGGCAGTATTTTTCTTTTTTATATAGTACATCACAAACAGCTAAGTGTATAGTGTGATTCAAACAAATTATAGAGACTATAATTTGTTTGAATCACAAATTATAATAAACAAATTATAGAGACTAGGTGATTCTTGTCTAAATTTTATCATTACACTTGCACCGTCGCCGGTTGAACCAACTATATGTTTTTTAAAATTAATATTATATGTGTTTAAATGTTGTTCTACTTTTTCAATCAACTGTACAGCTGTACACGAGTTAGAAATTCTCAAGTGTCCATTCATCAAGTGTAATGCTAAATCATTGGCCTTCTTTAACTTTTTCTTGTAACAATTCTAATATTTCCAACTTCTTTTTTTCATAAAATTTATGAATTAAATTCATAATATCTCTTTCGGCTTTAGGAAGATTATAACTTGATTTTACTAAACTTTCACAAATAAAGCTAGACTTTGCATTCGCCCTACCTGATATAACATCAAGAGCGACTATTTTAGCGACAATTTCTTCTAAAGGCTTTTTTGCAACAGAAACGAAAGTGTCCATAGTTTTAAATCGTTTGTTCGTGGAATTTTCTCCTATTTTTTCTCGTGTTGGTAAAGAAATTCCATGTTTAATTTTAAATGTTTAATCATTGATGAAGTATTTCCATCTTTGTTTGATATTATCGTTGAACACCTACTGCATTTACCACTTTTCAAATCAGTACATTGGGTGAAATAGTCCCAAACTTTTGAATTCTTTGGCATAATAGTGCTGTATAAAATGTCACATAAACGTATGATGTTCTACTTTTTTCCTAAAATGGAGATATTAATCAACTATTTTATTAACAAATGAAATGTGTTTTTTTTTTTAAATACGCGCTAAATGAATTGACTTATTAACTTCAATCTTTCTAATCAAAAGTTTTTATATTAGCGAATGCTTTTAAAACAATCGCATATACAATAAACAGAAATTTATGAGGTTAGTGTCTATTCGGACAGACATGGAAACATATATAAACTTGAATGCTCTCAAAACATCAAAAAAGTCGTGGTCTAAAATTCAAGCTAAAAAAAAGGGTACAGTGTGACGGCGTTCCGATGCGTACAGACAAAACCGAAGAGTCAAAT